AACACACACACATTTAAATACAATACATACCAATCAACCAATCCACGATGCCTGTATATCATACACACACAACTAATACACACACATTTAAATACAATACATACCAATCAACCAATCCACGATGCCTGTATATCACACACACACACATTTAAATACAATACATACAAATCAACCAATCAACGATGTCTGTATATCCCACACACACACCTAACACACACACACTTGAATACAATACATACAAATCAACCAATCAACGATGCCTGTATATCCCACACACACACCTAACACACACACTTATATACAATACATACCAATCAACCAATCAACGATGCCTGTATTTCACACCCACACACCTAACACACACATTTATATACAATACATACAAACCAACCAAACCACGATGCCTGCATATCACACACACACACACACCTTATTGAACAGTCTATGGCTTTGCGCCACATCTCGTTGGTGGAAGGACTGGACGTTGTTGAGATGGTCAGTTGTGGGCCTCTGCCATGAGGTGTTGCGTGTGTTGTGATCGATATAAAAGCGATTGCCCTGCCCATCCAGACGAGACTCCCATCCAGGGGGGAGTGGTCCCAAATCATCGCTTGCGCCTATGACGAGAGGAAGCGAGGATAGGACGATATTGGAATAAATAAATAATATACATTTATAATAATAGAAATATATATAATAATATATATATATATATATATACACATATATATATATATTGAATATATATATATAAAAATAGCAATAATATAATAATATATATGCATACGTATACATATATATACATACATTCTATACAAACAAAAGTAGAATGGAACAGACTCACACAAGACACATACAAACACATTTAAAACAACACAGAGTAATAGCGCTTACTTCCTGAACCCGCCTGTGCTTGCGCTGGTGGTTCCCATTGAGTCGTCTTTGTGTTGTGATCCACATAGAACGGCCGCCCAGACGCATCGACTTTTCCCTCCCATCTGAGGTGAAGTATTGAGATTAAACGGATAAACAAAACAGAAAAGTAAGGTATTAGTATGTGCAATATGCATATGCATGAGTGAAAGTGCAAAGGTGTTAGCAGGATAAGAACACGTGAGTGGAACGGGGTCTGTGGCATAATGTTATGTAAGCCGTATCAGACAAGTGCAAGCTACAAAGACGAGTGGTACATGTTGGTACTTTGGTGTCCAGAACACCCGCCCGCGCATTGTGCAGCTCATCTTCCCTTCCATCTCTGTATGTGTGCATAACAAACCGAATATATGTGTAATACGAGATGACTATATACCTCACAGTTATATATATATATATATATACGAGAAGACAATTGAGAATGTTATAGTGGAACACACATTTTTACATCCAATCGGGAGTTCAGAAGCGATTGCCGCGTTAAACTCCTGGGCTGGTTGTTTGTTTTGGCTCCAGCCAGACAACCCTGCGCTATACAAACGATATCAAGTGTGCGTGAACAAAAATGCATGAATCAGAGTGTATTGACACTAAAACATGTATATACACACAGACATGAAAACCAGATTCTCAAAACCATATATATATGTACATACATACATACATACATACATGCATACATACACACACACACACACACACTTTATATATATATGTGAATACATTTATATTTATATACATACTTATACTTATATATATATATATATATATATACATATATATCCAAACCCGAATGCAGGCAAGAATGTATACGTGTATATATACGATAGATACAACTCGATTTGTACATGTGAATTGTAAGATTACGAACACACACCCATTCGGTAGTCCAGGTGTCGTGGCTGGATAAATCTCTTGATCCGCCTGTGGTTGGTGGGGTGCAGGGCTCACCGTACTGCGAATTTCCGCCGGAGTGTATGTCTGCGTGTTCGGTGTATGCGACGGTCGCCCGTTAGAGGCACGACGTCCTTCAGTTGCCAGCTGTTAGTAAGAGCAAATGACTTTTTTTTTGAGATAACGACATTGAAAAGAATTTGAGTGAAGAAAGTTATCTATTAATTACATATAGATGATTTTATATATATTTATATGTATTCGTACATAAATACATACACACACAAACACAAACACAGCCACCCACCCGCCCACATACACCTACATAAACAAACACACACACACATATATATATGTATATACATATATATATATGTATATATATATATATATAACATATATATATATACATACACATACATAAATACAGATACATACATACATACATACATACGTATATATATATATATATATAGACTTTATAAGTAATCCGAAATACCTTGAGCGTCACCGTGCCTGTAACATGGTGTTGTGCGCCGTCGGGTGGCTTGAGATTGCACGTAAGGACCTTGTGATACGTTGTTACGGGGACATCGCACACGGCCATGGATCGGTCTGCCTTAGTCATGGACTTGACCATTAGCTCGAGAATTGCTGTCGAATCGTCGTTGATTGGCCTTCATTAAGATGAGGATAATGATTTCAGAATGTATATAGATAGACACATACTTGCATTTGAGATCATCAAGTACACACACACACACACACACACACATATAAACATATTATATAAACGGGTGAGCATGTGTACATGCGCGAGTAGCAACCGTGCAGCAAAAACCACGTAGCAGCGCACCAACGATGAAAGAAAAGAATATTTACAAGGAGGGAAGAAAAACAGAGGAAAAGGTCACACGATCCAATCTCAATGTACGGAATATGATACGTACACGATCCAACTATGCTTGAAGACAGGATTGCGAGACTTGTCTACCAGATTGGACCTATATCGCGCCTGAGTAGGTTTGCCAGGATCCACGGTCACCTGAGCATAGATCCCCACCGTCGATACTGTAGCGATCAATGGAGCTCAATTAACGAGAAGAATAATTTGATATAACTTGGGCGGAGACACACTGACTAATATATCAATGGCCTGTAGTGAACATATGAGAGAGTATGACAGATTCGTGTCTCCAAATCCCCTTCTCGCCCCGGCCTGGTTCTCTAGTGGCTGTAGAGACTTGACTTATAGTACACAGGCAAAAAAATCGTAGACGACGCAAGAACAACCGTGCATGTTTTTGTAAAGGGATAACATTATAATTAACTTAATACAGGTCATCGTTACAATCAACGAGACATAAAAGACAGACTATTTAACTATGTTCTTGTGTTTCTTTCAATATCGAGAGAGTATACCACCCCTGAATAGTATCAAGAGAATTACGTGATGTGTGTGAGAAATCGGTTTCACAAGCCTGTGTCTGTAACAGAAACGGATTGCATGACAGAAATTTAAGCGTACTTGGCATCTGTGCCACTCCAAACGACAGACACGGCAAATAGACCAGTAGTTCAACATAGGCAAAGCACAATCGATGTGATTTAAAACTTACAGACACTCAATTGAATACGATACGTGAAACTTCACAACAAAAGAACGAAACAAGACCAAGTTGAAGCATCAACTGACTTACATCCAAACCATTTATTGTTGAGACCCCGACCGTCCACGAGGGTAAGCTTGATTTTCCGATCCCTGTAAGTATACAGGTACATATACCAAGAAAATACAAACAATAGTGAGCCGATACAAAGGAAACGTGAGATTAAAGGAAAAAGTTGAAAACGGGTTCCTGTACAAAGGCCACTGGGGGGCCATTCTTCGATACAGAGTGCAATATAAAGAGTGCTAAATAAATTAGAGAAACTATTTTATCGGAAAGTTGATATTGATCAAAACTTCATCAAGGAAGGTATTGGCCAAAAATATACACTCAAATACGAAGAAGCTCGTAACACAATATGAAGTACAAAAATACAAACTCAAATCCGAACCGGACACATCCATAGGTATGTTTTATCTACATATATACATTACAAAATTTCTATACTTCTATATATATATATATATACATATACATATATATATATATATGACTATATATATATATATATATATTTATATATATGTATATCCATATATATATATATATATATATACATATTTATATATATATATCTATACATACACACACACATATATATATATATATATATATACATACACATACACACACACACACACATATATATATATATACATACACATACACATACACACCCACACACCCCCACACACACATATATATATATATACATATACATACACACACACA